AAAAATTAGCATTAATTTCATTATCAATGCCATGTACAGTATTACAATTAATTAAATGAAAGTTAACTTTTATTTTTTAATAACAATTAATATTTAAAATATACTTTTAACATGTACAGAATAAGAAAACCCATATTTAGTAATCTTGCTAAACCCACTCTGGCCATCATTAATTTCCCTCAAATCCAACTGTATTTTTTATATATTTTTTAACCCCTTTCTGGAATTTTCTTTTTTAAACATTTAAAAATTAGTTTAGGAAGAAAAAATAAGTCCTAAATTTAAAATTCAAAACATACTAATAATACTATCCTAACCCACATATTCAAGTGGGTGGTTACTAAGCTATCATGGGTAGGACCCTTTCTAGAATTTTATTTACTGATCAAATCCAGGTTTTTTTTTCCCCCTAGTCTTGATTTTTCAAGCCGTAAAAGTTAGTTTGTGTGGTATTGATTTACTCTATTGCCCAGGGATATTTCTATTAATTACCATTTTCTTTTGCTCCATTTTCTTAGATTCGTTTTTTTCTCACCATTTTCCTAAGTGCTGACCTTTACTTTTATTTAAGCTACTATTCCTCAACCCCCCACCCCCTCCCCCAAAAAAAAAAACCTATCATTTTAACGATGTTTATGCCTCCTTCTATTGCATTCCTTCATCACTTTTAGCATTACAATTTTCCTTATTACTTTCACTTTCACTTGCACTTACAATTTCTTATTTACTTGTTATTGTGTGTAGAGAATTCATGGTTATGTATTAAATATAATAGTTAGAAAAGGAAATGTAGTGAAATTTTAACAGTGATATATAGTATTTTTGTGATAATATGATGATGGTATTAACGCAACCTAAATACGTCATATTGTGTACGTCAACTCAATCATATTCTAGTCTACTTGATTGTTATTATAATTAAAGAAAGTTGATCATATAGTCATCAAAACATAAATATCTTATGTCACTGAATTTCTTAAATCATGATGATCAATAAATGACAACAATATTAAAAATTTAATCCACAATTATTCCACATGTTATTTTCATGAATAAATCTTTTTGTTTAAAGTAAAAATATTAGTTGTAATAGTTATCCGTTAAATATCTAATTATAATTTCGTCTCTTATAGTTTAATGAAATATACACATATAAAATATATAAAACAACATTCTTACCGGAGAAGTTTTGAATAAAACAACTGATTGCTCCCTACATAACACTTTTTACCGAACTCGAGTTCGAATCTTTCTCACTCCCTCATCCCCACAATGTAACTCTATTTCAAAAAAAAAAAAAACATTCTTAAGTACGCCAAAATGTTGTCCAAGGACTATTTTGGTGATTATTTTTATTCGTACAATCACAGCGTGACTTGTGCTACAATTTTGATTTAAATGCTTAATTATAAAAAGTAATAAATCCAAAACAAGATGGAGGATAAAACTGTAAATTTCATGGTGCCATTGTTCCATTTTTATTTACGATTTTCCGATTTTATATTTTTATAATGTTACACAGCAATGATCAGCTACTTCTCGCACTACACTTTTCCATGAAATGTCGTGTCCTAAAACCAGAGTACTCAATGATATTCTGATTCCAATAATACTCTGCCACGTGTAGTAATCACTGAATTCTTTCGCTCCTGATTATCCCGGCACAAAATCAATATTAATTGTTGTGTCAATTATTAATTAATAATTACAATTATGAATTATTTTTATTGGATAAATTAAATAAAATCAATATGCTTAAAGATAATATTTTAAAATTTTGATGAGTATAATATTATTGTTAGTGATAATAATTATACTCTTAGTCTATGTTTGGATAAAAATTAATAAAGGAAAAGAAGGAGAGGAAAGGGGAGAAGAAGTGAAGGGAAGAAAAAGATTGATATTAGTTTTGTTTGGATAGATAAAAGTGAAAGAGAGGAAAGAATAATATTTTTATTTAATTAAATAATTTAATAAAAAATAAAATAAAGAATAATAAAATTTTTATTTAATTAAATAATTTAATAAAAAATAAAATAAAGAAGAATAAAATTTTTAAAATTTATTAATTAAATAAATAATTGAAATAAAATATATTTATTTATTTTTAAAAAATTAAAAAAATAATAAATTAAATAATATAATTTATTCCAATCCTTCCAAATAAAAAAAATTGAAAACATAGGAGTGGAGGATGCTCGATCTCCTTCCGTCTCCCTCCTTCTCTATTAAAATGATATACCCAAACTGAAGAAGTTGGTCTCTCTCCCTCTCTCTCCTCTCCATCCCCTCTGATTTTCTTAATCCAAACAAAATGTTACTGGGGTTGTGCTTATTGCCATACATATTCTAATTGAAATTTTATTATTTTATAACTTTTTAAATAATTAATTATGATTTTTAAAAATATTTATAAATTTATTTTAATATGTTAAATAACAAATATTAATTATTTCAATTATTAGCTATTTTTAATTATCAGATTAAGACAAAAATTTAATAATTTGTATGATCTTAACAAATTTAACAATAGCTTATTACTAGGTAGTAATTTTCTTCTTAAACTAATCTTCTTATGGTAAATAATTAATAGATTTTTTTAAATATATGTTAAGAATATAATTAGTATACCTTTTTAACAATAATTGATATTCAAAATATCAAAAATTGACATTAATTTCATTATCAATAACACGTATATTATTACAATTGATTAAATAAAAGTAAATTTTTATTTTTTAATAAGAATTAATATTTAAAATATACTTCTAACATGTACATACTAAGAAAACCCATATTTAATAATCTTGCTAAACCCACTCTG